GTCCTCACGTGGTCTTTGTCTCTATAAACACACATGTTCTGGATATCTTTCTGCATGTCCAATTTTTTTCTTCCTGTTAGCACATCAGTCATATTAAATTAGGGCTGACCCTAACACCCTTATTTGAACTTAATCACCTCTTTAAGATTCTGTCTCTAGTAAATCACATTCTAAGTCATATTCAACATGAATTTTGCAGGGATGATTCAGCTGATAACAAGGCCTTTCAAAATCTCACCATGTTCATTTGTAATATCAATGCCATGTGCACGTGTGCTAAGTCACTTCAGTTGTGTCTGGCTCTGCAATGCTATGGACTGCAGCCTGCCAGGCTCCTCTGTCCATAGGATTCTCCAGGCAAGAGTACTGGAGTGGGTTGCCATTTCCTCTTCCAGGGGATCTTCCTGACCCAGGGATCAAACCCACATTTCTTATGTCTCCTGCATTGGCAGGCAGGTTCTTTACCACGAGTACCACCTGGGAAGCCATATTAACTGCTTAAAATGGTTTGAGATCTAGAAAAAACTTCAGTGTTGATGCAAAAGCTAAGCCCTCGAAGTTCATGCAATTAATTACAAAGCTACACTTTGCAAATAGTCTGAAGCCAAACATTTCTAATCATTGACTCTTGCACCCTAATTCTGCAGACATGTTCCCTCCAATATGGCAGCCACATGTGGCTAGTGAACACTTGGAATGACTGGTCCAAATTGAGATGTCAGTCTAAATTACTGAATTTCAAAGCATTATTAAAGGAAAAATAAGTCAACTAAGTAATTTTTGTATTGATTACATGTGCAAATATTTTGGATATGTAGATTATTAATTTAATGTTTCTTATTTTTTATAATTATGGTTACTAAAAAAGTTTAAAATTACATTGTGGCTAGAATTATATTTTATTGGTTAGGGCTTTCTCAAATGCAGGTATGTATCATCTGAATTAAGACTTGCTTTGAGTCTTAGACTTCCAATTTATAATTCATCAAAAATCGCTTCTCTTTTCACATCCCCACTAATTTACCCAGGGGCAGAATTCTAGCACTTTATCCAGTCCTTAACACATATTTCAAACCTAAGAGACACTTGCCATTTGTTGGGAAGACAATCTGTAATGCTAACTTAACAAATTCAACTGAAATGTATTTATTGAAATTCCAAGTGATGAGTAATCCCATTGCCTTTCATCTTTCCCCTGAGAGAAAAAAAGTAGTTGACAAATATACTCTCATTTCTCACTTACTAGTAGTACTAAAAAGTCTTATGTTCTAATTTCACCAAAACACTAGAACCGAGATTATCAGGGTTACTAAAAATTTTTAAGTGATTATTTTATGTACACACAGCTGCTAGATCCTATGGTGGAATATGTGTTTTGGTTTGTTTTTAAAATGTTGATGAGTTGAGAGGAAAAACTATAGATAGTATTTGAAGATCAAGAATTTATCACTTTTTCAGGAACATAAAATATGGTTAACATTCACACCTTTTAGAAGTATTTATTTTCCATTTTTAAAATAGCATTATTGTTGGGTGTAATTTAGAGTGCTAGAACTTGAATCCCCAACAGGGACTGGCACATTTACAGACTGAAAGCATTTAAAAATTCCTGTTTGCTATACCTTGGTTTAAGCTCTTTCATATAGCTGGAAAGTGGACTGGGGGTGAGGGGGAAATGCTCAATTTGCACAGTGAATGATTAAAGGAAAGATAAAAGCTAATAGCCCTGTTACTTAACCAACTTTTTAATTTTCAAAGCTAATTGGGCTATGTTAAACTACATGCCCCTCCCAGTTGGATCTACCTGATATATAGAAAAGCAAAAAGGAACCCTTCCTCCAAATCCTTAACCTTAATTGCAAATTTTATTGTTTATATTCATATAAGAGGAAATGTAAATAAATTGTTTCTCAACTACATTAAGTTCTATCATTTTTTGACTTGTGAGCATTATAACTCACTTTCAATGGATATAATTTTATATCCTAAGTATGATGTCAAGCATACCTTCTAAATACCTTAAACTGAATTAAGTTATACTTACCATCAACACTTAAGATGTAAAATTTTTCTCTAAAACTTGCATTTTATAGTTAAGTCTGTAAAAAATCCTATTTTAGCAAGCTTGATTATATCAACTGTTAAAACTTTATTTTACAAGCAATAGGAATTGGATCAAATAATTATTATAATCCAGAGGAATTATTTTATAACCATAGCAAATGCCATTATACACACTGCCAATACAGATTTAATAGACAATACTGAACTGTACAAGAGTTATTTATTTTTCCTTAATCTCAAAGCTATTTTAGTAATACAAAAAGCCATATTAACATTTCTCCATTAGAAAACAATGTGATGTACAAAACTTTGGATGAAAAGATATATGTCAAATTTCACTTAATCATTTGGTGGAAAATCCACCACTCCATCGATACCACCCAAAGTGTTTTAGGCAATGATTAAAATCAAAGTAAGCATCTTAATAAACTCCAGCTGTTAAAAAGAAACAGACCTAGCAATATAGTTGGCTACATATTTTTGACTACTCAGGGTTACTTTTTAAAATCCATTTTTTTTCTGAGTCCTACCACATACCAAGTGCTGTACTTGTCCAAGTAGGTGTTTGAGGAAAAGCTGGTAAGGTAGAAGACCCCATAAAGCAGTCCTTTGGTTACCATATTTGACTTTTAACTTTTAAACATCCTCCAAGATCAAGGAACCCCAACTAAAAGTACACATTCTTCCAAGTGTTATTTGATTTTATTAGTGGGGAGGGTGTTGGTAAAGAGGTCATGAACTATTATTTATAATCCATTATTCCAATTAAAAGCACATATCAGAAACTAATTTGTTATTTTTCTAATGAGTTTAAGATTTGGCATTCAGTTATTACCAACGTGGTTCACCCTACAAGGCACACTGCTCAAAAACAGCAAAGCAGGTATGCATAAATGCTTTTCTTTGCATTTAGTGAAGTAATATTTGATACCCATATTTATCTTAAAATTCAGTTGTTTAAGGTCCAGTGAAGAAAATAAATCCAGTTATGGGGTGGTAAAGAGCAAAGAAGGTTAACTAGTAAATTATTACTATACAAAGAAATTTTATTCTCTATCTTTTCCTTTGAATAACAAGATACTAACACACTATTTTCATTAAAAAAAAAAATGCTTGCAACTATTGAACTGAGGCAAGTACAAAGGCCCATAAACCAACAGTATCGTCCATTCATCACCATTACTTCTTTACATTAAGCTTGTTCTCCTAAAGTATAATGCATACTCTAAGCTATAACTTGGAAATTAGCCAAGCACTAAGCAATTACAATGGCAGGTAATACACCATCAGTTTTTAAAACACTTTCAGTCATTTTTCATGACCCACCTCCAGTTTGAATTGAATATATTCTCAGTATAAATTTGTTTTGGGAGCTGCATGACAAAAAAAATGTAGTTTTATGACATTTTCACATAAGACATTTAAATAGTCTTCAGTTCATACCACTTTTGTTTTAAATGATTCATCCTGACATGCTATATATAACTACAATAAAAATAACTTCAATTTTTAAAGAAAATTAAATGCAGATAAATGTTAACAGATTTGACATGGAATGTTGTAAGATATTCCTGTACGGAATCTGATACTAATGATTATAAATTTCCGAGTTTGAAAAACTTCAGATTAAAAACCACAAGAAAATTTACTCTTGATGGCATGCAAGATCTTTTTCAAAATGAAACCAGGACCTCAAAGTCTCAGTATTTTATCAGAACATAAAGAAACACAACAAATTTGTACATTTTATTCACATTTATTTTTCGCTTTTAGTGTGCTCACAGAAAATTAGAACACCTTAAGCAGGAGTTTAATAGCAATTTTTGTAAGCAAAGTTACATTCCATCTCTAAGTCAAATTGGTCAAAGCTTCTCCAGTATTTACAAAACATGATAGACAAGATGCTACACAAAACCATTGCATCTGAAGATTTTTTCCTTATTCTCAAAGACGACTGGAAAAGAAAGCATTGTCTGCTGTAATCAAAAACATACCACAGTATAAACAGTAACCATTCCACTTATCACAGCTTGGTTGAGTTTAAAATTTGTGTTTAAAAGGTCCAAGATGACTGCAGTTTTACAAAAATGGGCAGGGTGGAAAGTTGCAAACTTCATGTGCTTCTGGATATCAAGATTTGTTTTTATACAATAGTCACAGTTAAAAACACCCTGCTGGTAATACATAATTACACTTTATTAAGGTCATAAACCAGCAATAAACAATAAAGCCTATACAACTTGTAGTTCTACTTAATCACTGACTGGTACAGCTAACATGAGATAAGTGAAAAGTTCCTATGGTTTAAATGAACTCCTAAGACTATGATCTTTTTAAAAATCTGGGTATCGGTGTTTTTTTTTTTTCTTTCTTAGTCAAGACTTGTAGTGTTGTAAACCTGCCTCACAAAATACATCGTAATAACTTTTCTTAAAAAAAAAAAAAAAAGACTAAGCCTTTACACTATCATTTCTAGTGGTACATTACCTTGGCAATGCTATGCACCACTTAAATTTCTCCATGGTGGACCCTATCACTTCATCTGATATCCCTTTTTGACCCACCCATCTCCTTCATATATGGGCATGTCCATAGATTGACAAAGAAAGTTTACAATTTTGAATAAAGATGCAAAGTATGCAAAAAACATTAATACTGATGCAAAAAATAAAAATAAAAGAGAAACAAGGCAGAGGAAGGTATTTAAGCTCTCCTCGACCTGTTGGAATGGTGGTAACAGAATGATCTGAGATGGGATCTGTGGGGAGTGGGTTAAAAACAAAATTTGTTGTTTAAAAAAAAGTAAAATAAAAAAAGACATCTTTAAAATCAATCCCTGGTTGTAGACAAGTTCTCCAAAACCAGTACCTGGCACCACTCCAACAAACAAACCGGGGGAGAAAAGTTCTTCGATTATCTCAAAAAATCTGGCCCTTTTACTCTGCTGCCTCCGCTGGGGGCGCTTCCGGACTGCACTCGGGCTGGGCCTCCTGTGAGGGGGCTGCGCAGGCTGACGACGCCGGGGCGGCCGCCGCCTCCTCCGCGGGGGCCGCCTCCTGCTCTGGGGGCACGCCGGGCCCGGCGGCCGAGGGCGCCTCGCAGCCGGCCGCGCTGGCCCCGGCCTCTTCTGCCTTCTCCTCGGCCTTGCTGGGCTCCTCGACGGCCTTCGCCTCCTCGCTGGCGGGCGGCTTCTCGGGCGCAACGGCAGCCTCCTCGGGCTTGGCCTCCTGCGGGTCGCCCCCCGCCGCCCCCTCCTCGCCCGCGGCCGCCTCCTCGCCTGGCGCCGCTGCCGGCTCCCCGGGGGCCGCACCCGCCTCGCCGGCGGCCGCAGCGGCGCCCCCAGAGGCCTCGTCCTTGCCGCCCTCGGCGGAGGCGCCGGCGGCCCCTTCGGCCTCACCGCCCTCTCCTGCCTCCTTCTTGTTCTTCTTGAAGGAGAAGCCGCTCAGCTTGAAAGACTTCTTGAAGGAAAAGCGCTTCTTTTTTTTTTTCGGGGTCTCGTTGCTGGGCGAGGGCGTGGCCCCGTCCTCAGCCTTCGGCGAAGACGTCGAGGAGGCGGCAGAGGCGGCCTCCCCCTCGGCGGCCGTGGGTGAGCCGGGCTCGGCGGCCTCGCCCTCCACGGGGGCCTCCTTCTCCGCGGGGCTGGCCCCGGCGTCGGGGGCAGCGGCGGCCGGCTCATCCTTCTCGGCCGCGGCGGGCGACGCCGCCCCGCTCCCGGCGGCTGCGGGCTCCTCCTTGTCGGCAGCCGGGGCGCTGCCGTTGGCCTGCAGCTCCTCCTTGGCGCCGGGCTCGGCGGCCGCGGGAGAAGCGTCGCCGTTTACCTTCACGTGGCCATTTTCCTGCGGGGCAGAGAAAGCGGGAGGTCACTGAGGGGGCCCGAGCCTGTCATCCCCGCCCCCACTTCTAGACCGGGAGGGTCCACCGTCCCTCGGGGGCCCTCAGGTTTTGCGGATCCTCTTCCTTATGGGGAGGCGGTGTTGGATGCCCAGACGAGAGTTCCTCGAAGACCTGAGGGCAGTGGTGTTTGGGGTGCCTAAAGGCACTGCGGGGGCCTCGACCACGCAACAAATTCCGAGGCCTTATAAGAGGGCCGAGTCCGAAACGTGGAAAGCAAAGGGTAACCCATTCCAACCTTTAGGATAAGAGTCATGTAATAAATGATACACCAAACGCCCGTTGGAAGGAGACACAGAACCAGAGTCAGTGATCCGTGCCTAGGTTACACGTCCGCCTTTCTCCCTAAACTCTAAAGGCCTCTTGAAAACACCAAGAACTCCCAGGGGGGGATCCCAGCGTTCCAGTCCGAAGCGCCTGGACTGCGCGCGCAAAGGCTCTACGCCCCTAAGACCTGGGGTCGGCAGGGGGCGCTGCGCCTCCACCAGCTGAGCTTGGCGCAGGCAGGCGCGGAGGGGCGGGGACGCCGGGCCACCCCGCCCTGCCCGGCCGGGCCCTGCCCGCTGGCCGAGGCGCCCCCGAGCCCGGATAGCGCAGCCCCAGAGTCCGCAAACAAAGCTCAGGTGGCATCCTGGTCGGCATAAAACCAACGAGACAGGGGGAAAATCATTATTTCAGAGGTCTTGTCTCTGCTTCCACGCCCACCTTTGCCTGTGATTCTGCGAAGCCCGGGCGCGCCCCGGCGGCTCATTTTGCATTTTTAACGGGTTCAAAGCCTCTTGGCAGAGCCTGCCTTTCCTATTAGGTTAGGGCAGGCGAAGCAACACGGCCTCTGCTCTAGGAAAAGAGGCGTGGTGGTTGCCCGGTGTTTGTGAAGCAGCCACCCTTGGCCGACCTCTCGCGCCCACCCAACTGTGGCCATCTGCCTGGGTTCGGGCAGCGCCGGGGCAGCCCCCGCAGTGGTCCAGGCGCCACGCACACCAACAATCTCGACTGAAACGCACGAACTGCCTCCTGTTGACCATCTGGACATGTTCTTCAAGGACCCACAGTCTTCCCACCCTAGGGAGACCATTTAAAAGTCAGATGGGTGTGTAATTCCACAGACAACTACGAATAAAGACTTAGAACAGTGAGAAAAGCCGATCAAAAGGTAGTGAAACCTGCCCACCTCCAGCCAGCCAGCAACCTTTCCAAGAACCCAGGTCACGCCACCTCGGTATACAATAAGACAGCTCTCCTTCCCTCCTCAGCCTTTCTTCACCGCCATCCCTACTGCGCTCCCCCCCCACCTTCTCTACCCACCCCCCAACACAATCACACCAGTTCAGAAATCCTGAAGGCGACCCAGTCTCGACAACAAACACGAGAGCCACCCAAACACCTTTGTGCCCACCAAGCACAAATGCAACCTGGCTGGGGGTGGGGGTGTGGGGTAGCACCTAGCTAGTCAGGTTCTGCCAAGCTCCAAACACGCCATTTTAAACGATTTATCACTTCTTTCCTCCCGTCTACACAAGAATTCGCCAGGATTCTCTGGGAACCATTACTTTGGGAGTCAGGGGAGACCCCACCTATGAGAAATTGACAATTTGGCTATCGCTTTCCATTCAACTTTCAGGCTGGAATCTGGCCACGCTTCTCTCCGCCGAATGCGCCTCGGGCATGACCAAGGAGGGAAGGGGAAGCGCCGGGACTAGAGAAAGACACCAAATAAATGACCAGAACCACAGGTAGAATTTACCTGCCCATTCGCTTTAGAAGGCGACGAGGCCACAGCCGCCTCCCCGGGCCTCTCCGTGGTGGCTTCTCCCTTCGCGGCGGTCTTGGAGAACTGGGCACCCATGCTGGCTTCTTCAACAAAGAAACTCAACAGATCCAAGGGGGGAACAAAGAGCTTCGGGTTGGTGTAACGACGGGGCAAGCGGCAGCAGCAGCGGCAGCAGCAGCGGCGGCAGCAGCAGCAGCACACACACCGGAGGGAGGGGGGAGTGGGGGTGGTGAAGAGGACAGAACAGAACCGATTAAATACACGCCGGATAAAAAAATTTTAGTCGTAGAGATCAAAAAGCAGCAGCGCAGGAGGGAGGGGAAAAGGGTGGAAAAGTCGAGCACAAAAAAAGGAGCCCAAGTGTAGTTTTTAAAAAAAAGAAGTAATAAAAAAATCCCAGATTTGTAGCCGCACTGTAGACAAGAGGAAAATGGAGAAATCTCCCTGGTTGCTAATAAGATGCGGGGTCCAACGCCCAAGTGCACAGATGAATGGGCTCGCGGGCGCTGACGCGGCCCCCGCGCTCACCGGCCAATCCGAGTGCCGCACACAAAGCAGGGGGCGGGGCCTGTGCGCCCGGCGAACAATGGAGCCGCGCTTTGCAAAAGGTTTGAAAATCAGCCTCAGACCGAGAATTAATGTCCTCCAAATAAATAAATCAATTAAAAAATACATGCCTTTCGCCTCCCTCTGCTTGAAAATAATAATGCAGTACTGGATTGGCTTGCTTTGTTTGTAATTAATTAACGCGGGGGGGTACTTGTGGATGAGGGCGGAGAAAGCGTTAACTTGACTCGCTTTGGCTCTAGTCGGTCTATAACCGTGTCTGTCTCCTTCCACTCCCTCCCCTCCCCCATCCTTCCGTGTGTTTATGTGTATGTGTGTGTATGTACGCAAGTTTTTAAGACAATGGTTGAAATTTGGGTGCAGCATGTTTTCTGTGTCTATTCTATATAGGTTTCACAGATCTTGCACAGGGTTTGTTCTTCTAACTGTTGCAAATGTGAAATCGCCCCAAATCGAAAGGTATTTTAACCAAGAAGATCGAATTTCATCAAAAGAGATCGCGAGTTAGAATTAGGTCTGTAGGCCAGATGTGGAAAATGCAAAACCAGCAAGGAGACGAAGCCACACTCCCTTCTCTATCCCACATTGACATGAAATAAAATATTTCGAGATTGGCCTCTGCGCTCAACAACCCTCGGCCCTCCCCCATCCCCTATGAGTGATTCCCCCCCCCGCCCCCAACACACACACACACCAATATAAAGTGAGAATCATGAACAAAAGGTCGAAAAGGCTTGCATTTTATCATTGTATGAAATGACGGTTTTCCTCTATGCTGAAATGAGACACAGTCTAGAGTGTGCGAATCCATATTTACAGTTGGGATGAGATTCGCGTCGCTATGAATCTTTTTCAGTCTACTGCCAGGATCAGATGGACTCTTTTTCTGAACGTGTGTGAATGTGCAAGCAAGCGAGTGGGCTCCTAGAAGGAAGGGAGGCAGCAGCAATGAAATTCTGAACAACCGGATTGATTATTACAATTTCTAAGGAGAAATTGCATATTGAGAAATAGCACGAAGATCCCTGAACGCTCCAAGCCTAACTTGGGTTAGAGAAAAAGCTTCTATAAGGAAACCCAGGGTATCTCCAACGGCACCTCTTGTCGCGGAAATACCAGACGCTATCTGTGCGTGAAAGACAGCGCGCTGATTTAAATAATGGAGGGGGAGAAGGTAGGAGCAAAAATCAAGGATACATACACTTATACATATTCTTATAAGCATTCTCCTACCACCTACATTTTTGCTCCCAAAGTTTTCACTCGTGTCCAAATCAGGCTACCTTTTTTCGTTTACATTTAGTGATCCTGAAAAGAATAACCTTTCGTTTATGGAGGTGAGAAGCAGTCGAAAGAATGGTTCATTTCTCCTGGTGCTGGCTCTGAATTCTCAAACAGTTTTATTTTTCTGCTCATTGTAGGGAAATGGGTCACACTCTAGAGTGAAAAAGACGGTTGGTTGAAGCCAATAACTCTTTGTTCAAGTATTGCTTTGAAAGTCACCAAGTTGCAGATCTTTACAAGCTTAGTCTTCTCACTGTCCACTTCTTCAGATGCATCATTATTCCATTACGAAGTCATACTCCCCAGAGCCGACGTTAAGGCGTTTCCGTCGAGATCTATCTTGCCAAACATGTTATCACCCTTAAGGGAGCCCGCTGGCCTGGCTCAAGACCCCAGCCGCCGCGATGGATACGAATCCCTTGTAATAGCGGAGTTCCAACTCGAAAAGCAAACTGGTTGATTCAAAAACCACCATCCAGGCGATTCTCAATAGCTCTTTTAAACCGTTGATATCCACCCACCCTCAACGTGAATCATGCCCCTTTCTTCTGCATCCCCCTCCTGGTTAAACTTGGGGTGATTGCTAGCTAGCTGTCGGATTTTTTCCAGACGTGTTCTTATCCCTCCATTTGGGGGCTGCTTTTATTGCTCCTTTGTTACCAGGCTGCCGTGTAGCTTTCCCCCCTTTTCTTTCTCGAATGCCTATTTGCCTAGTATCGGCCTGTCTCCTTGACAACGGCCGGGGAAGATTCGGAGCCCAGGGCGGGGGGAGGGAGAAGGGGCGGAGCCAGCGAGAGGGTGGGCAGGGAGGTGGTAGAAGGGAAAGAGATGCAGAGCGAGAGACAGGGAGACAGACAGGGAAGCAGATGGCCGCGCGAGGGGGCGGGGCCCGGGCGGGGCGTGGGGGGACCCCGAGCGTCGCGAGCGCGACGGAGCCAATCAATTCCCTCAGCTGCATCGGGGCTAGAAAACAAGTGTAAACACGTCGATTCCCTCGCCGGGAGCAGTCGGGTAGTTTAGTGTAGAAACGCGTTTTCTTAAATAGGAAAGCGCATTTTAGTGCAGGTTGGAAAGCAGCAGGCCCCAGTAACTGGCAGGGGGAGGCAGTTTGCGGGACGCTGCCGGAGGTGGCGGTTGCTGAGGGCTGCGCCAGGGTCTCCTCAGACTCCCCCGGCGTCGGGCCAGACGGGGGGTGGGGGTGGGGGTGGGGGGCAAGCCCGGAATGCTTGAGGGGGTGAAGGCGGAGGAAGGAAGGGCTGGGAAATGGGAAGAGGTCGCTCTGTCTCGGAAACTACATAATGGCTGGGAAGGACTGCCAAACAAGACTGAAACCGGTAGGAAGTTGTACAATGTAAGTACACAGTTCTCAGGAGTTCGGTGTTCACACACCCAGAGCTAAATGTTTCAATCCACCTCTAAGTAAAAAAAAAAAAAAGATAATTTATATAAATAAGCCTAAGGAACCCAAGTGGTCATAGTGAAAATGTAAAACTGGTAACCAACTCACCTGGAATACAAATTCTTATTTGCATTTTTAAACCACACACTAGGATATTTCTAAGATGTTAACGATCTGTATATAGTTTTCTCTAGAAAAACGCTTTATTTTATTTAAGATATCTCAAAGTTATTTTTTTCCCTTTTGTTAACAGTAGAAGGAATTTTTAAAGATGGTTCCACAGATTCTTAAGGGACTACTGTATGCTGCACATACTGATGCAGGCCTTGTTTTCCCATCAGTGAACAAGAGAGACTAAGTTCCTGGCCTCAAGGTGCTCACTTCCCATGCCGTCCCCCCACCACCTACCCCCCACCCTCCGCTGCTTGCAGGTTCTTAGTTCCTCACAATGTAGTGGAAGGGCAGAGCCCTAACCACTGGTTTTGTTGTTGTTGAGTTGCTAAATCATTTCCAACTCTTTGGGACCCTATGGACTGCGGAATGCCAGCCTTCCCTGTCCTTCACTATTTCCCTGAGTTTGCTCAGACTCATGTCCATTGCGTCTGGTGATGCCATTCAAGCATCTCATCCTCTGTAGGCCACTTCTCCTGCCCTCAATCTTTCCCAGTATCAGGGTCTTTTTCAGTGAGTCAGTTCTTCACATCAGGTGGCCAAATTATCAGAGATTCAGCTTCAGCATCAGTCCTTCCAATGAATATTCAGGGTTTATTTCCTTTAGGAATGACTGGTTTGATCTTCTTGCTGTCCAAGAGACTTTTAAGAGTCTTCCCCAGCACTACAGTCTGAAAGCATTAATCCTTTGGCACTCAGCCTTCTTTATAGTCTGACTCTGTACCGCTAGCCAAGGAATTCCCAAGGAGCTTGCATTTTAGTAGATAGTCTGCTTTAGAGGAAGTGGATTATCTAGTTTCATCTCTTCTCTTAGGAGATGAAGAAACAGTCCCAGATATTGTCAGTTGGTAGAACCAGGAATAGAGCTCACCATCTTGATGATTACAAGTCTCCAGCTTCTTCCACTACTTCTGGTGCTTACCTTCTTTTGATAGCACAGATTTATTGGTAGGCTGCTTATTCATTCCCAAATTACTTAATTCAGCTCCTGCTGAGTACCTGGAAGGTGCTAGACATCAGCTGACACCCCTGACACCAGGGAAGAGGATGAACATGTCTGTCCTCACTTGTAACTTCCACGTCACATTATTATCTCTTAAAACTTCTTAGAATATGAAGAAAGAGAACAAAGGATGGGATTATGTGTGGTTAAAAAAAATAGATGAGGGCCACTTTCTAGATTACAAGTTAAATATACCTTTTTCATTTGACATTCATTCAGCATTCATTCAATATTCATTCATTCAGAAAATACAAGATACCACTGTATTTATAGTGTTATGCTCTGTTTTTCATCTTTTTTATATTATCTGAACTTTAATTCCACATAAGTTGATTAGTTTGGAGTATAGCATGGAGCAAAGCAGACACAGCCTCTCATTCATTCAGTAGGTATTTTTTGAGTTCCTATCAGGTGCTAGGCATGTGAAACATATCAATGAACAAAAGAGACAAGAAATCTTTATGGAGCTTACATTTTAGACTAGGGAGAAAAACAAAATTTAACAAATATAAGTAAGCAGTTTATCTTTTTTACCTTTTCATACTGTTCATTGGGTTCTTGAAGCAAGAATACTGGAATGGTTTGCCATTCCCTTCCCCAGTGAAAGAGAAGAGTGAAAAAGCTAGGTTGATACTCAACATTCAAAAAACT